TAACTAGCTTTTTCATATATACTAAGCCAAAATACACCCTTGCATGTTATATCCAAGTCAAATCCATCTCTCATAACGTTTTAATTGCCGCTGTCTTTGAGGGATTTCAGTTGGTGGGCACTCCGGGTCGCTCACCCCAAACCTTTCAAGGGGTCACCGACATAGCTTGCAGAGAAAATTTACGGCATCCACGGGGTCGCTTGATCAAATTTGGCCCTCTGTCCATCTACCCTTGGAGGCTGGACATGTGGCTCTCTTGGTTATGCAACTACTAATTCACTTACAAGTATTTTTCTTATCAGACACCCTTGTAGATACATCTGTTTTTTCAGCAACAAATTGTCCAAGTTTTTAACCTTTCACATAAAAAGGGTACATGATTGATTCTCTCATTGTTATTGATGATGTTATTAATCAACCTAAAAAAGTCTAGGTTGGATTTAATGTCATATTTCAACCTAAAAAAGTCTAGATATGGTCCCTAGCCTTTTGGAAAACACTGAACTGCTTTATTTGCTAGGCAGATCCCCATCAAGGCAGACCAAAACAAACGAAAAAACAATCATCCACGTGATGCTTGATACGGACAGGACGAGGGTTACTTCCAAATATGAGAGAGAGAGAGAGAGAGAAAGAAAAAATATATATATATATATATATATATAAATTAAATAAAAAAGAGGAAGCTGCAACGTTGAGGAGAGAGAGTTTTTTTTTTTTGTTAAAATATTATTTTACTTTATATTTTGATTTTAAATACTTTAAAAGATTAAAATTAAAGAAGGTATACCATGGATATTTTTGGTAGTTAAATAGGCTGTACTTAGTTAATTTTACATTTTAATTTAAACATTAGGGTGTACTTAGATTATAAGGTGTACTTAGTTAATTTTAGGGTTCGTTTAATATAACTCAAATATAAAATGCAGAAAAAAATGATAAAATTAAAGACATCATTAAATAAATGCTTAAAATAATAATAAAATACTGTAATTATAGGGAGGAGTCCTTTCTCTCTCTTTAGATTTTGGAGCTCCTAAAGGTCTCCCTATTTTATGAGTTGGATAAAGAGCATAGTTGGAGGCAAGTTTTTTCAATTTCTTCCTAAATTTTAGCTAAGGAGGTGGTTTATTTGAGAAATTATAGAATGGTACAGTATCACCACGTCAGATAGTGATACTCCCACTCAAAATCTGCCACCTGTCTCTTTTTAAAGAAAACTACAGTATTTTATACAACTGGACTTTCACATCCAATTTTACCCTTCACAATAAAATTAATAAAAGAAAAACCACAAAGAAGAAGATTGCACCACTCCCACCCGACTGAAATTACCAGTCCCGCTCGCCGTCCCCTCTCTCAAAGTTTCTAATCCTCCATCTCTCTCTACTGTACCAGCAACTACTTTATCTTACATTTGTTGTTTATTTCCACATTGAAATTCTGCCCATTTATTCATCTCCCTCAAAATAAAAAGAATAAAAAAAATTAAAAAACTAGAATATTGTACACCAACCACTGCACTCAGCTTTGCCTCCCCTGGCCATCGCCCCCGCTCTCTCAGTTTCTCTCTCTCATCTAGAAGAATGAGATCTGCATATTCCAATTGATCTCAAGTCAGCTTTTGGCCAGGTCATATTCAATTGAAAAGTCTAAAGCTTTCTCATATGTTATCGAGAGAGGATGGAGAGATGGAGGGAAGAAGAGAGAGAAAGTGAAAGAGAAGGGTGCGGCAGCAGAGGGAGATAGTTTGGGTAACTCGTTCTTTTTTTTCTTTTTCTTTTTAAATTTTATTTGAAAGGGTAAAAGTATAATTTCATATCCAGCTGTAATTAGTTTTTAACTTTTAAAAATAAAATAGACATGTGGCAGATTTTGAATGGGAGTATCACCAGCTGACGTGGTGATACCGTACTATTCTATAATTTCTCGGTTTAGGGAGCCCATTGTGGGTGCTCTAACCGAACACTTCGATTTGCCATTTTCGAAGATTGACGTTCACTTCAACTGACTCTGGTCAATGCACTGAGCATTCGACTCGGTTCGGTCAATTTCGATGAGAAACCAAGAGAGAGGAGTACGGTGGCAATCTCCAAATGAGAGGTGAATCAGCACAGTAATCCATCTCCAAATCTCAAGATCCGACCAGATCTAGAGATGGATGAGAGAAAGAGCACCAAGGAGAGGGAGAGAGGGTGAGAGAAAGCATAGAAAAGGAGAGGAAGAGAGTGTGAGAGAGAATAGAACCTCATTTTATCATATCATATCAACCAAAAACGATAAACCAACCCTCATGGAAAGATTATAGGCCATGTTTGGTTCATGGGAAAGGAGACTTGGGGATGGGAAATCAATTGCTTTCCCATGTTTGGTAAGTCCAGGCATAGGAAATCATTGTCTGGTCCATGGGAAAGTAAGGGGGGGGGGGAGGGGGGAAGTGAAGTCATCCTCCCAACTTGGGTTTTGTTTTACCTCCTCATGGGAAAGTTTGGGAAAAAATGAGCCAATATTAAATAAACATTTTTCATGACCATTTTGTCCCCATTAATAATTTAGAATTACAATATATCATTAATGAATTATTTTTTATTTGATTTAATATGGGTATAATTGAAAATTTATACAAACTTTGTTTTCGATTCATACTCAAAACAAACATAGGAAAGGAAATAAAGTGATATCTCTCCGGTACTTTCCCAACATTACCAAACGTGGGAAAGGAATCCTTCATTTCCCATCCCTTGGGAAATGACATGGGAAATGATTTCCCCTCAAATTCGTTCCGTGAACCAAACGGGGCCATAAAGTAAAGCATCAAAGACAAATAAAACGGAATGGGACAGTTCTGTTAGACTTCTATTAGAATATGTCACAATAAGTGGTCAAATAATGTTCAAATTTTATAACTGAATTAGAAACCAATCCATATAAGAAAACAAACTCATGTATGAAAACATTTCAGGACAGAAATGGGGTTTTGAAATCTGTGATCCATTCCTTCAAGCTGGAAAGAAAAGCCATCCCTGGCATCCAAAATACAGTTGAAGCCAAAGGATATCAAGAGAACCCAAAACAATACCTCGAGAACACAATAGCTTATGTGGTCAGCACTCTAGCCTATGTGCACAGAAGAAAATGAAGAAAATCGCAGTACACAAGCTGCTCCATGTCTCTCTAAAAATAATCCCGTTACATCCAAAAATAGGACTATCTTTCTAAACCATAAACCTAAAGTAAGATCACTAGATTATATAAAAACTGACTATCAAAAAGGTTTAAATCCTATACATCAGGAATCCAGGATAATGTCAGATCAGCAAGGGCATAAGATGGGAGTCATCGAAACGGGTAATTTTCATGACACATGACACAGCATCAGAAAAGAATGAAGGTCAACTCAAAAGTGTTCTCAAATTCAAAGATCAAAAGGAGATACTTAAGAGTAACATGTTATCAGCAAGAGAGATCATATGTGCAACTTAAGTTCGAACATAAGTTAACAGGCTAGATTGTATTTCAAATTGAGGAAAAGTACTTAATGTAGATGTTGTATATGTGTAACTTACCCAAAATCTTAAGTACCTAATAAATCAGACATGCCGTTAACAAACACCAAGACTTAGAATTCAACCCATAATACAAAAAAAAGATAGTATAAGTGGTCGAGCATACCTCTGGATTTTTCGTAATGTGCACGAGTTAAGACTATCGCAGGACCGTCATCACATTCTGCACTAATATTTGCAAATATGGCATGAAGAGAACTCCTTTAGGTGAGGATTTCGTAGAGAGATTACCCCCTTGACTTCCTGATTATGGTGAAACCACCTCACTCTGATCTTTTCTGACCCCTATCGTCTTCATATATATCTTCCAAATAAGGAACATATTGATTTTCTCTCTTTGCCATGACAAAGGCAAAGAACTGAATCAGGATGTAAGGGGAAAAGAAAAACAATCAGAGGAATCGAATTACGATTGACTATAAAATCTGGAGTAGCATGTCAATTCGATAATGTATAGAGTGCAAGTGGGCATTAGTGGTTTCACCAAGAGGTTCATGTGAAGACTATGTTCAAGAAAACACCTTGAAGCAGTCTCTGAACTAAATACCATGAAGTTCATCCATCAAAATAAGTATGGATGCCGTGCAAGAATTGGCTATGAAGCATATAAGACGTGATAATGTCACAATCAGATAATAGTGACTTATACTCGGTTGTTTTTGCTAAAAAGCAACAACAGTACACATAATAAAATTAAGACAACATTCTCTATATCTTCTAAGTACTCTTTGAAACTTGAAACAAATTCTCCATTTTCACAATGTAATGCTTTTTAAGTACCTGCGTAGAGATCCTATTTATTTTCCTTGTAGCACTTCTTGCATAAATTCCTTTACAAATTTTAATGTGGCCTTATATTGAAGTCTGAGAGTTAAATCTCATATGCACTTGAAATTCTGACACCTCACGAATGCATTCCCACTTTAACTACAAGATTCTTAGTGCTATTTTAATCGCAGCTCTACAGAATGCCATGAAATGCTTGAGCTGTTTAACATGTCCATTCAACAACGTACCATACAATGTCTGGGTTGTGTCACTTCAAGTTCTTTGAAAGACAGTCATGATACATAGGTTTCAGAGTCGCACATCAGAAAAAATTGAAAGCTTATTCGTGCACATCTATACTTAGTAGAACGAAACACAACAAAAGAAATACCACGTCATTGGGTTGGATCTGCGGTAATTGGATATTCGAGAATCCATAAAGCTTCTAATGAATTATGTTGAGGTGATTCTGTGATCAATGCATTGACGTGATAATCCCCAGTTATACATTCCCCTCATTTCTTGCAGCATATATCAAAACAGAATAAGCTACTAAATATGAATTTTTATTTTCTAATAAATTAAAACAAATATCCGTAAGTGGCAAAACGGATTTAAAATTTCTTTCAGTCTCTAGAACTATCAATTCATACTAGGCTGTATGGATAAGTCAAAACCTTTCAAGCTTCTTATATATCAAAAGCCTTTAAAGCTATGTCTTAAACAGAAAACCGCAAACGTAATCATACATTCTTAAAAAATATAAGGGAACTCAAATTCCCTGAGGGAGACTCATACCAGATAGATCTCCATGTAGATGCTGCTTTGACAGAATAGATGTAAGCCAATTGACAACCTCTCTTCTGTGATAATTGTTTAGCATTAGGAAGCTTTCCTTTCTGTGCACTTCCAAAAATCCCTCGGCAACAATATAGATCATGTGTCGAACGCTCATCTCAATACCCAAAACTGCAAATGGATTCTCCAGCACAATCTTTCAAGAAATTTTTGACCACATATTTGCCTCCTCTCCTGCAAAACAAACCAATCTGTCCACTCCACAAAACAATGACCACTTCCAGAGATTCTCACATAACGCAAAAGGAAGGGTTAACAAAATACAGAAACCTACTTGAAGCTCTAATTCTATAGCTGAAGACGCAAAATGAAAGAGAGCAAAGGGTTCAAACCTCAGAGATAAAAATTAACACAGTAATTTTCAGACCAAAAGCTACACTCTTGCAATTATTTCTTACCTAAGCCATAGGAATAAATACAATCCATCTGCCCAAGCTGGAACAACTGTAACTACCAAGAAAAATGGGTATATGATAAGACTGACCACAATATAAAATTAAAATAAACTTAAATAAATAAACTTAGGGCTTGGAAACCTAAGCAGATCAAGCCCAACTTGATCAGTTCCAATGATTTCCAAAAATTAATCTGGTTCTATAGCATGATTCAAAGAAGAAAAAAAAAGGATTAATGTCTAATTACAAACTTTAAGTTAGCTACGTATAATTACACACTTGATCAGTTTTTAAAATGATTATAGCTTTTTTCTCTCTAAAACTCTAATTAAAATGCCAAGAAAGGAAAAACAAAACAGCATACAGTTTCACAAAAATTTGGTTCATGTTCCCTGGCCAAAAAATAAATTAAATTTTTTTTGATGCAGTAGTATCTCTGTCCTATATAAAGCACTGAAGCAAGAAATCAAATGTGTACCTATCAAGGAAAGATTATCCTTTTATAAAGTACAAAATGAGAGGGGCAACAGACAAGTTAAGAGGCCAGCAATCTTAGTTTACTTCTTTGTTGATAAGAACTGATATTTGTTTATTCTCACCCAAGCACATCTAGCTTCAGAGTTTTGTATAGGAAGAACTTTTGATTCATCTAACTTTCACTGTTGTGCTTCCAACCAATGCAATAAAGCAGATGATAAAAACTTTAAGCTTCATTCATTACAGGTGACAACTGTAGAACCGAGTACGCACACAAAAAATGTATCTAGCAATTGGTAAAATAGAATAGTTCAACAACCTTTCATTCCCTGACTTACCATAATTCACAGAGCCAGCACCATATTCCTAATCCTGAAGTTGCTAGGATTAGAGGAGGAGACGATGAAACTTTCCGGTAATTACATCCCCGATGTTTGTGGATGTGTAGGAAGATAGGGTTGAGGATTATAACCCTCTTTTCTCAGTTCAAGAAGAAGACTCTTGAGCATTGAATATATCTGAGCAGACTGTGGGTGACTTCCATCTGCTGCAACAAACATATGAGTGTTGTTGTTAACCTCGATCCAACTGTACCCAGGAACCTTCTGAACTCCTCTTTCCTTCATCAAACTTCTAACCTTAAGCACACTCCCCCATTTTCCAGCATCAGCATGTATATTTGAGAGTAGTATATAATACCCAGAATTTTGTGGTTCTACGTCAAAAAGATGTCTTGATGCCTCTTCAGCAAGCTCAACATTGCCATGGACCCGACAAGCTCCAAGCAATGTTCCCCAGACACCAGAATCTGGGGAGAATGGCATGCTCTTTATTGTTTCAAATGCTTCACTTAAACGTCCAGCACGCCCAAATAGATCTACCATGCAAGCATAATGCTCCAACCTAGCTGGGATCCCATATTCCTCAATCATGCAACGGAAGTAGAAAATTCCATCATCAACTTGGCCTGCATGGCCACAAGCAGATAATATACCAAGAAAGGTGACATGATCAGGCAGGATCCCATTACCCAACATTTCATGAAACAGAACAAGAGAGTCCTGAAGGCAACCGTGACTCCCATAAGCAGAAATAATGCTGTTCCAGGAAACTTCATTCTTCTCTTCCATCATGTCAAACACACGGCGAGCAAGAACTAAGTTTCCACATTTGGCATACACGTCTATCAGTGCACTCTCAGCAAACAGATCAGAGCTAAATGCACTTCTAATCATGAAACCATGAATCTCTTTCCCATAATGAAGTGCCGGTAAGTTTGCACAAGCAGAAAGAGCAGCTGAAATGCTTACACAGTCATACTTGGCACCTGCCATCCCCATTTGACGAAATATATCAATGGCCTCTTCTGGCTTGCCATTCTGGGAATAGCTTGTTATCATTGAGTTCCAACAAATGGTGTCCCTTTCAAACATTCTTTCAAAAACTTGATGAGCAAGATCCAATCTTCCAGATTTTGCATACATGTCTGTAAGCGCACTTCCCAGATGGAGCCTTCCGTCAAGCCCATGCTTGAGGATGTTTCCATGCAATTCCTTTCCCAATTTCAGAGCAACCAAACCAGCACAAGCTGGTAAAACACTTGCCAAGGTTAGAGAATTCGGTCGCATTTTCTCTTTAAGTAACCATCTAAAAATTTCCAATGCATCATTATTCATCCCATTGAGAACGAGCCCTGAAATCATAGCAGTGCACATGACAACATCAGTTCTGGTGCTTTGGTTGAAAATTTTGCGTGCCATATCCACATTCCTGCACTTGAAGTATACATCAATCAGTGCACTTTTCAAGAACACATCCAAAGGCACACAGTTTCTTACAATGTAACCGTGAATTTCCGAAAGGAGATACAGACACACAAATTCAGGTAGAAAACTTGCAAATGTGATTGAGTCCGGTTTGACACTAGAAGAAATCATCGCTTGAAACAAGCGTGAAGCCTCAACCATAAACCCATTTTGTATATACCCAGATATCATTCCGTTCCATGTCACTAAATCAGTTCGTGGCATCATATCAAACAATTTGCGGGCCTCAGACAAGCACTGGCATTTTGAATACATTGCTAACAATGTATTAGCCACTGGAGAATCCAACTCCAACCCACAAGCAACAATTAGCCCATGAAGCTGAGTACCAAAATCAATCATAGCTTCTGAGGCACAAACTGACAAAATGCAAGCGAACGTCACTGCATTGGGCTTAATTTCACTATTTCTCATTTCCAAGAACATTCCAACAGCATTCTTCGATTCTCCATTTTTAACATAACCATGAAGCATGACATTCCATAAAACACAATCTTTGTGAGGCATTTCAACAAACAAGCACCATGCATCATGGATACAACCATTGTCCACATACAATTGAATCAAAGAACTACCCACAAATATATCCACTCCAAAACCCATAAACTGGATGGTATCATAGATTGCTTTACCCAATCTTACATTATTCACACCACCACAAGCTTTAATTACACTTGGAAAAGTGTACTTGTCAGGTGAAATTCCAGAACCCAACATCTTAAAGTAAAACAGCAAGGCAAACTTAAAGTAACCCATCATAGTAAACCCTCTAATCATCCAGTTCCAAGGCAAAGTATATTGCAAATCAAGCTGATAAAAGATGTTCTTAGCATCCACAATGCTCCCACAGAGAAAATACATACCCAAAATCTTTGTACCAACAAGGCTGTTTTTTACAAGTCCACTGCAAATAGCATGTGCATGAACTTGTCTACCTTGTTGGATAAGAGAATGATCACTACAAGCTTGCAAGATTGAAGTAAACTGGCTTGCCACTGCCCCTTCCAGATTAAGGAAGTATTTGCAGTCTGTATGTACGGACTTGGATCTTTGTGATGTAATGGGTATGAAATGTTTATACATTGGACAAATCACTTTCTTGTACATCTCTTTTGTGTTGTAAGAATTGTCTTTGTTTAGAAAGGCCCGGACATATCTTTTTCTCTTTTTGGTTTTCTGTCTATTGGTCCATATGGTTACTTGAAAACTATGTGGTTGATAACAAATTCTGAAGAAAGATAGAGGATACAGAGCCCACCTTTATCGGATTACTTTGATGTGTCCTCCCAGCTGCCTGCGCAGACGCTACAGCACCAATAAGTCAACTTAGGATTGTTGCTAGTGCCTATAATGTGTTAGTAGAAACACGTAAAAATTTGCATAATCCTGAGATAATATTCTCTAATCACTATCTGTTATCTATTCACCTAATAACACATTTCGAGAAGCACCTCCAAAAACCATAAAAAGTGGTTCACAAACCTAAGAAAATGTTTATTATAACCTTACAAACAATGTATAAAGAGGTTCTCGTTATTTCAAAACTCGGATTTCCAAAAACACTTCCAGAAAAAGCCAAAAACAGCTTTCATATCGTCTATGTAAAATAGAAATTTTTATTTTTAGGTTAGAAAAACACCATGATTTCTGAAGACAATGTTTTGAATTAGTCTGGAAGTTTTAATATCCACCAGATATTCAAGTTACGAGAAATTTGCACATTACTTTTGCTGTTCAAGCAACTATCTCAACCAACCTCGCAGAAGAATTTGGTTCAACTCTAAGAAGGGGGCATGCATGCATAACAGATTCCGAGATGGTGGTTCTCAGAGCATCAAACTGTCCATATAAAGTTTACTCACAGAAAAACAATTTCATGTTTCATATCGCCAAACTGTCCAAACCCCAAACAGGCTAGAAAAAAGTGTGCAGGTATGTTTTTGGAAATCCTGCCTTAGTTTACTCCATATGTCCATGTACAAATACAGAAGCAAGTACATAAAAAGTAAGAAATGTTATTTATTAATTCCTTATTTAAAACATAAATTAAACCCCCAACTTTAAACCTATGTTCAACTTTAAATTAAACCCTAAATTAGAAGCTTATATAAACTCTAATCAAATCCTAAATTTGAAATAAATCAGAAACTAAAAGAAGCGAAGAGGAAATACCTGGGTCAGCTGGGATGAGTGAGCTGTGATTCTTAGAGGAAGAAGATTGTTCCAACAACTCCAGAGAATATTTGGAAACGAACCCTCACGCGTAAAAAAGCTGTAAGAAACAGGGTTAAAAACAAAACTTGAAAATTGATTGGGGCTGGAGAAAATATTTCAACTTTCACGTGTGATACTGGGGAGGGTTAGAAGAAAATAGAGCAAGAAATTTGATTAAAGAAGTTCAAAAGACAGAAACGAAAATGGCCAACTCAACGAATTGGCTTCAAGGTTGTTCTTAAGTAAATTTCATCTAAAACCCATTCAACAAAATAATCCCGAAAACCCATCAATCAATTGAATAAAATTATAAAATAACCAAATTCTACTGTATCTTTTATTGGTCTGATTTTTCAGTAAAATTTCTGCAAAGCCCTAGTTTGTACAAACTCATTCAACAAAAGAAAAACCCAGATTTTTGTAATGCCCAATAAGCACATTCATTCAATAAAATAAACAAAAAAAGTTAACAAATCCATACCTGATGCTGAGGAGTGAAGTTTGAACTTTTGTTAAAGGAGATAGAGATACAAGAGGAGTTTTAAGTAAATTTCATCTAAAACCCATTCAACAAAATAATCCCGAAAACCCATCAATCAATTGAATAAAATTATAAAATAACCAAATTCTACTGTATCTTTTATTGGTCTGATTTTTCAGTAAAATTTCTGCAAAGCCCTAGTTTGTACAAACTCATTCAACAAAAGAAAAACCCAGATTTTTGTAATGCCCAATAAGCACATTCATTCAATAAAATAAACAAAAAAAGTTAACAAATCCATACCTGATGCTGAGGAGTGAAGTTTGAACTTTTTTTAAAGGAGATAGAGATACAAGAGGAGTCTGAGGTTGGATTGATTTTGGCGTCAGGGAGGAGAGAAATGCGTCTTTGCAGAAAAATGGCGGGATGGGAAAACGATGAAGTGAAAGAGTCGAGGCTTTCAAGCCTTCAAAACGCGGCGTTTCTGCTTAAAATTAAAAGAAGAAACCGATATATTGAGTGCTTCTCTCATGCTACACTGAATTAATCAAAAAAGAATTTCTATAGCATGGTTAGTAAATTCACCTACAATACTTATATTATTCACACATATACGTATTTTTTTTTAAATACCTTTGTGTTTTTGAATATTTTTCAAGGATAGGACAAAGCAGATAGACTGAAAGCACAAGATAATGACATGCCATACTTGAATAATTCCGCATAAGAACATACTCAAAATATCGAGAATATGATGGAAGCATAAGATAAAAAAGAATCTATCATCTCCCAATAAGATTAAAATCAACCATAATAGAAGCGATAGCAGAAACACAAGTCCATATGAAGAGATCATTTAAGTTGGAGAAATAGTAACTCCAGTTCACTTGAAAAGATCATCTACATAGTACCAACCTTTACAAAAGAAACAGGAACCATTTTAGTACTGTACTAAAAGTAAAAAGAAAATCTCCCTCGGCATCATCTGAGAAGCACAATCAGACTTCAAAGGCAATCTTAAAAACCAATAAGGTCATTATCATCCAATTGTTACAAAATACATTCTTATTTAATATTACGGACCTTATACGGACCAAATGATAAATGCCCTTCTACTAAATTTACTATTGGACTAATAGGGCTGACAATGGGTCATGTCGTGTCAAGATGCTCAACTCAAACCCAACTCATTTAATAAACATGTTGTGTTGGGTTTGAGTCATGTTAAACATGTTACTAACATGTTTAGCAAATTATTAAATATGTCACATGTTTAAGAAGAGGCTGAATTCGAAATAGAGATGAGAATTAGACTACGGATATCTACTTAGGCTAAGAACTTTCATTTGCGTGGGTTGAAATCCACTACCTTATATGGACCTTATGCGAACCAAATGATAAATGCCCTTCTACTAAATTTACTATTGGACTAATAGAGCTAACAATGGGTCCAGTGGCGAACCTGTGCAGGCGCAAGGAGGTGCACCTGCACCTCCGGTCGCCGGAAAACTCCATAGATGCTGCTGAAGTTGCACCTCTGCTCATGCGCCGAAGCTGTTTGATGAAATGCGCAAGTGAAGCGCTGTTGTGATTTGTCCTCCACAAGGCTGCAAGGGATGGATCCACAGAGGAGTAAGGGTGGTCAAGTGACCCCTGCAACTCCTGGAATCCTCCATTAGAGGGTGTAAATTTGACCCCTGCAACCTGTTTGATGAAAGTCCCCAAAGGGGCTGCTGTTCTGTCTTGCTGCTGCTGCTGCCCTCCTCCAGTGCGCGTCAATTTTTTTTTGCTCCTTCGACGTCAAAACGACGTTGTTCCACTTATGTTTTTTTAAAAACTTGGCCAAAATGATCGTTTTGGCTCAGTTTAAAAATTTAAAAAAAAACTGAAAAAGAGGCAGCAAAGCTGCTGCCCGATAACTCCCCATCCCCAAATGAGTTTTCACTCGTTTTTTCCATTTTCAAACAACACCCCACACACAACCCCCCCTCTCTCTTTTTAATTTTATAGTTTTTTAGCAGTTCAGCTGTTTTTGCTGGCTTTCTTAGGCACCTTTCGTTTCTGGCTGCCTCCTAGCTTTGCGTGTGTTTCTTTTCTTTATGCTTCGTTTGGTTGTTGCGCTGGCCTGTTTTGGCTGTGTTTATGAAGATCTTTTTGCATATTTTTTTTATATAAAAAAAACCCTAAATCCCCAAAACCCCTAATCCTAGCAGACGACATCCTCATTGGTTAGTTTGAATAAATTAGGATTTTTTAATTAGATTATATATGATTTAGTTATATCATATCTTGATAAATTGGATTAGTTTTACTCAAAAGAACGGTCGCAAATGTTAGTTTTTAACTTGGAAAAATAAAATAAAATTGAAAGTTACTTTTGGGAAATGTTGAACTTTATAATGAATATGGCTTCAGTGCAGAAGGCTTGATAGTAAATAGAAAATCTATATGCTGGGGGTTTTCTGGCTAGCTAAAAATGTGTGAGAAATGATAAATCTATCTTATTGCAGCCTATTTAATGTTTAATACCTTCGTTAAAAAAAGGTTGTTGACAGTGCTTTGACTATCTTGCAGATTATAATGGCAAAACCAGCAGGTGGCCCTAGTAAGAGAGATCAGCCTGCAGGGATGGATGAGGACTAATTTTGTGTGTATGAAAATTTACTATCTTTGCTTGTATTGCTCTATGTTAGGGATCTTTTGTTCCATTTTAGTAACAATTTTGTTTAGGAGAAAAAGAAACATATTGCAGTTCATGCTTTGTAAATGCCACTCTTCTGTTACGATGGACACGTGGTATGCCCTTGTTGGGTAGGTTTGGATTGAAACCATGGTCGAGTGCTTGAGCCATGTTTGGTGAGAAGCTTGAATGGATTTTCTTTTCTGTTGTATTTGGCCCTTCTCTTTTTAAGCATGCCAAAAATCATCATGGTTTTGTAATATGTGGTTTGTGCCCAATTAATTTACCGTGGATCTTGCATTTTTGTACCCAATATTTGATAGCTGCCTTCTTTTGAACGAAGATTCATTGAGGGAGAGAATTACTTTCCTTTTGAATATGAATCGATGTGCAACTCCAACTATCATTT